GATTTTAGCTAAAACATTAATAAAACAAGTTGGGGATGCTCAATTTACATTTACGAAAATTTATTAAATCCAAAGATAAATTGTGAAAAATTTAGATTTAAACGAAATTTAAATGAGTTTAAATTGGATTCATACGGGTTTCAAGTTGATTTTAATGCACTAGATTCGGTTTTAAATCAGTTTAAATCAATTTGAATTTAAAATAAATTACTTGAGAAATGACACGTCTATAACAAGTCTAACTCCTGAATATTCATCAGCAACAACATGAACAGTAATCTGTGACAAAGTGATAGATTTTCTGAAATTCGATTTGTCAATGAGTTATGAATTAGTACACAATTTCGTGGCTTCAAACAGTTTCTTTGGTTTTGTGTATTGTTTTTCATTAAAAACTTCTGTGGATAATATATTTAATATTTGTTATCTCAAGTGAGATATTTGAGCAACTGCATTATATATATATATATATGTTACATTTGATAGAATAAATATGACCTTTCGATATAGTTTACGAAGAAAGCCTATATTTACTGATACAGAATCTTTTCTTGTTTCAAACACAATCGTTTTTGTATCGGATCACACATGAACTGAAGGAATTGATTGTCATCTTTTATCTAAATATCTCTTGACGTTTTATTGTTGTTAGCTTCTTCGGTACAATCTGTATAAAAGGTAAAGATGACATTCGTGTCACTTTGGGTATTGATGTTAATGTAAGGAAATACCGAACAGTGAAAACAGAATCTCTTTTGTATATAAAAAAAAAAAAAAAACTTAATTCTTTCGTTGAAATAGTTTTTGGTTGCTTTTGTTAATCCGATGAAGATGATAGAATTTCCTATCTGGTGCACTCTACGCCATCGAATGACTTAGCGAAAAAGAGAAGACCTTTGAATCAGAGATTCATCTGCTTAGTGAAGCTAAACATTAATGTATGATAGGTTATCAAGAAAACAAATAGAAAACAACAATCCATTCATGACAGGCACTTTGATGTATGTAACAGATCGATTTTACCATCACGTATCATTGAAAAATGGAAATGTTTTTCTACAAAATTTGATTTCTTCTTCTATATTTATTCAATTAGTTATTGGGTGTACAAAGATTTAATGTATGAAACATTTATTTGTATTTTGTGTTGATATTGTCAATTTTGTTGCTAAGTGACATATATTCGAATAAAAATGAAGATTCCAGAGATGAAATCTCATTTATTTCGGATCAATTGCCATTGAACAATTAAAACAGGCGAGCTCTCTTTCATCTCATTTTCATTATGGAATATGTTGTTACTTTGAAAAAATGTTGAATGTCATTTATTGAAGACTGGATATCAATTATCATTTTTTGATTCGATGTACTAGTTTGATAATGATCGAAAAGAACTTATCACAAAAAAAAATAACTTGTTTTATTTACTTTTGTTTTCTTCTCTATTCGATTCTCAATCTGAATAGATCATCAAGGTCTTTCAATCGAAACAGTCTCATTGAACTTTTTTACAGCGACATTCAGGTCAAACTTTGATTGACTAATTCTTGATGAATAACAAATCAAAATAATCCATTTGAATAAATCTCAATTAATTATTTTACTTGTCCTATGTTTTGATGGAAACCGAGACAAACATACATTATTTTTGCACAAAATCATCAACGAGAATCTGGTGGGTGTGGCTGTGGGTCTTCAACACAACATTACCTTCATCCACACCACACCCACACCTGCGCGCCATTACATAGATGTCATAATACCATTACACTGGGTATCGAGAGCCAACCGTCAAAATACCCGCAGAGTAATCAAGTGTATTCACTTTCCCGATCTATAATTTACGAACAGGCATAATGACTTCAATATCCCTTACATAAACTATATATCGTACAAGTTGAGCGTTTTGAGTGAATTTGGTGTAACGACGTCATTACCCCCAGGGTAATGCACCAAAACCACTCAAAACGCTCAACTTTAAAAAGTATATAGTTTCCATGGCACAGAGTGATATCATTACCCTTGGGGTAATTGCTGTTTCGCGGTGGATACCCGGTATAACGGGATTATGACATCACTATACGATCACCTGTACAGAATAATCAATTTCAAATGTTCACAGATACATTGGCTCGATGTGAGACGTTAATATTTGCCGAGTAAAATTCGAACAAAGTTTTGTTCGGCATTTCCATTTCTTCAACATTTAATCCATTGTCCTGTCTATAGTGAGGAAGATTTGGAAGTTCTTATTGAAAATCTCAAATATTTAGAAAGTATCATCATTCATATTCAGTCTCATAGAAAATTTTACTTTCAAATTTTTGAATGAACGGAAGGTACAATTGTAGATTAGTAATAGATATGCATCAAACACAAACTGTTCGGATTTTGCTTTGGGACAAAAACTAATCGAATGATTCATTCGATCGACATCAACATCGAAGATCTCAAATTGCTGTCACGTAAATACGCCTACCTGTGTTCAATAATGTGTATAGACTCTTCTCTCTAATGAATAATATGTCTCAGCTAAGAATACTGTTGTACTCTCCGATATAATGAAGGCAATTTATTTTTAAAAAATTGAAGCACTGCGACTTTTGTATCATTCATACATCTGGCAAAAGCATCTTTTCAAGTAGAACAACTGTTCATTGTTTATTTTTAGAAGAATTCTTGTGAGGATGTGAGCAGTTGGTTGTCGCGATTCATCATATAGCAAATAAAATATCACATTGGTTGTTGGATAGAACAAAAACAGTATACACATAAAAAATTTTTGATTATATTCAAAATAATTTTTTTCGTCTTCAATAGAATGCTTTTTTGTATCAAGTACTGCCTTGGTTTTTCTGATACACGTCATCTAACAGGCTGAATCATGATAATAAAAAAGCCAATCATCCGTACGACAGTTACTGAAATTCACCTGAAATGACTATCGAGAAAACAATTCACGATGCAAATAGTTAGAATTTTATCTGTGCCTTTTGCTTTTTAGAAAAGTCAATCTTTCAGTAATTGAAACATTCCATCATAGAAACAAAAATCATATTTCCCCTCCTGATTCGTCCGATCCGCCACTGCTGTATTGTTAACAAGAACCCTGACTCTGTAGCATATGTGATGCGAAAGAACAGTAGAATTATTTATTAGCAACAAAGCAATCAATATAAAGACGAACTGACGAAAAGCAATTAGTCAGAAATGCACACAATCAAGCAAATTAATCATGCGCGTACGATGGTGAGAGTAACAGTATGAACAAGTTCAAGAGACATTTTCGATTATATAGCACACCGAAATCGATGTTTAAATAATCGAATGGCTTCCTGAAAAATCACGTTTGTATTTATTTGATGGTAATATAAAGATCACGAATGGTAATACTGCTGGAACAAAGGAAATAAAATAGCTGATCAACAACAGATTTGGTTGCCGTGGTGTTATCATGCATTTGGTGAAAAACGGAATGATCAAGCGTAGTGCACTCAAAAGAACAAGTAGAGCGGGTGTTATGAGTAGATGTTTATGTTTATGCATTTCACGGCGAAAATGTTCTCTGATGTTTTTTTCGGTAGCACATGAGATCGAGAACGTGCTATCGTTATAATCATCCATGTAACAGCAATGAAATTGATCGAAAATGGAACAAGAAAATGTAAGAACGTCATTGTCGAATTCAATTGATCGAGAAATGATGAGTATCAAACCAAACACCATCTACGCTGTTCATCGACATCGAAGCCATCGATCAATCGACGCAAAATCGGATCATGCACATGTGTTAATAGTGTTAGAGAAACGATGATGAAAATCATTCGTTTGGCAATCTTTTGACTCTTCTTTCGATCGAACAGAGCTCTTGCTTAACGGTCACCAATCGTTCGATAGCTACACACGCATTTAACCAATCACTGAATGCTAAAAGAATTCTAAGACCAGGATCGGTAACGATGCAAAAAATATTCAACAATATTCGATTCTGTATCAATATCATTTGTGAGAGAACGGTACAAAGTGAGATTATTGAAGATACCAACCACAACCGCACTGTCTTGGCTTTCTCATTCGAAATGTCATCATCGATAATGAACAACTAATAATACCAATTATTAAAACATTCGTATTGATCAAAATGGTTACTTTGACAGTGGATAATTGTCGAGAAAGATTAATGTTGGGTTTAATATGATAGCCCAAGATGGCATCGAGTGAGAGAACAAATCCTCGTGTCGAAAATTGACACTTTATTCCATAGAAACAATCGGGACAAATACAGAATGTTATCCTTGGACAAGTAGCATTGTTTATAAGACATTGTCTATTATTTTCACACACATTTGAACCTTGACAATTGTAAACTATCGAATGATTGAAATTGAAACAATTGGCAAAACGATCCAAATCACAGATGCACATGAAAATATCATCATAGAAACACATCAATTGGCGTTGTTGTCGACATAACAATGGATAATATTTCAGTCGATGCCAAACAGGAGAATTGATCCATGTTATATTCCCAAGTTCATCGATCGATGGACAACGTTGATTCGATTTGACTTGAGCATGAATCGATTCTGATGGTATGAATGTTTCCCGTAGAATCGTTCGATAATAAGTACGATTAAATAATTCAACAAGAAGAATATGAAATGGATCTGTAAGATGAAGAGTAATTGTATCTTGATCGACATGAATCTTTTTAAATAAAGTTATGCGTTCGTGTTTTCGATCGTCGAATGCCGTAATCAGATGAATAGCGGCCCATGAAACGGTTGCAAGAAAATGTTGTTGAAATTGAAGTTCGATTTGATTACTGATCTTTTCACATCTCTAACTTGTAAAACCTTCTTTGCACAGGCAAATGAATTCATATAATGCCAAACGTACATCGACAGATATACAGAATCCGTTATTTTCACAAGGATTGTTGTTCGATTGACAAATTGTATGTTTTAAGAAACAATGTCGACCGAAAAGATGCAAGGGACAAAGACAGAATGACGATGCATGACATCGTGCGTCAATAGCACACGAACATTGATGTGTTTCGTTGCAGGCTAAGTCCGAATAACCTGGATCACATTCACAGAAGAACAATGTTCGCTTATCAGCATAACTTCGACATCGACCATGATGACTACAGTCTAATGGACAATCTTTGATTTCTGCTTGTTCGGGAATGATCAATTGAGCAGCTAGACGATTGACAGGTAGAAATGAATATGGTAGTGACAGATGCCAACTGACATGGTAATTCAATGTCAATCGATCGAATACATCGATATGAACCGAATAGTTTTTTGATGAATGTTTCGGTCGATCGGAATAGACTAGATAAAGATTATACTTGATACCACAATCATGTACTGGTATAAATGTTAACTGTTCGATATTTGGTGCAATTCGTCCATTTTCGTCGACCAACATGAGAATGATATTTAAAGACACTTATTCTTGATTTGACACTGCGAAAGATGAATTGAAGTGTCAAACTGACACGGTGACTTTGCCATTGACATTGATCACCGAATGAACTCGGTGAATAAAGACATTTCTTACCTTCATACGGTTCGAATCGAAGGAAAATACCTCGATGGCAATAGTAATTCAATTCGATATCGATTGTGTAATGATTGGATATTTGTGAATCGTTAGTTACAATCGGTTTTATTGGTGAAATGCTCGATGTTGGTGAGAATAATCCTAAACGTGATGACAAGAAATAATGTCGTGCATTTTGATATGGCCCGGTAGGAAATCTATGACAAACGTGTTCTCCCTGGTATGTTGTAATATTTTCTTCGATTTACAATAAACTTTGATCAATGTATGAACAACCAATCTCAAATGTTTCTTTCGATTGTACAGAACTCGAGTGGCAGAGTTTTTCTCGTGTGATACATTTATTGTTGTGCCATGGGAGACTTTGTTTTATATTCATGTTAGTTCGATTATCGAAAGAAACTCGACGCCATATTGTTTCGAAATAGGAAGGACAATCGATGAAAGCTGTATCATATATATATTCGATGAGTAGACAGATGCAATCGAAGGAGTTCTTGAGCAAACATGCATGTTGATTCAATGGGCATCGACTATTGGGACAGTTCAATTCATCCATATCATTCAAGCAGTGCCAAACATTATCACATCGAACATAAGGTGTATTACAAGGTCAATATTCACAATTAGTTTCATCGATAAATTGACCATCGACAGCGAGTCTATCGAGAAAACCATCGCAAAATAATGAGCAGATATAGTCGAATTTGCTTGACAATGAATATGGATGGAGGATTTCGTCTTCCATAGCAACACAATCTACTACGCCGTTTCCAAAGGCAATGAATGACAAGCATTTACTGGAATTAGACTGACACATAAATCGACTGGAAACATTCAAAGAGCAAGCATCATAAGATTCATCTTCATCAAAGAAACAATCTCGCATACCGTCAACGAGGCGATGATATGATATGCATTTCATCGATTGTGAACAATGGAAAAGAGATGAATCTGAACAAAAATTTTCGCGACCAATCGTTAAGCATAGTTGAATAAGAGGTTCAAAAATAACTTCAATCTCATAAAAATTAGTCACTATCGCGTTTCCAATCTCATCAGGAAGATTCTTGCGATGGCAACAACTCAATCTATTAGTCCAATTTGTAACAACAATACTACCAACGACAAAATTAACCGTACACCGTATTTTTTATGTAACTTTTGATAGAAACAAGATAGAGAGCTGCGGTTTTCACCGTTGGAAAGAGGAAATAAAGACGCATCGAACCATACGTTATCGACTTGTTGACCTAGTTTTTTTAAGGTTTTCAATTGAGCTTTTTGTAAAACAACGTTCTTAATATGTGAGTACAGTGAATTTTCAATTATCTGATGTGCATTGAAAGCGCTAATTGAAGATATATAAAACTATGCAAGGCTCCGATTCTTAGCTTCAATCGTTCAGGAGTCATAAGCATTCTATTCGAAACTATAAGCCGATTTTTCCAGCAATACCTATGAAACAAAAACACTTTTTTTCTTGTTTTCTTTTTGATAACAACAATTTTTCCGCTATCCTTTTATAGATCATTGATTTAAAAAGCCTCAGAAAATATACTTAAAAAATCTGTGGTATACGATTCGATGCGTCTTCATCTCCTCTTTTCAACGGTGAAAACCGCAGCTCTCTATCTTGTTTCTATCAAAAGTGACATAGAAAATACGGTGCACGGTTAATTTTGTCGTTGATAGATAGATAGTAGCAAACCCGGACAACGGTACGAATCGAAACAGATATAGTCTGGCAGAATGTTTATTTCGAATTCATCGATCGATCGATTTGTCAAATAAATAAATTGAAAAAAACCGAATAGAATTGGTTGTGGAGGTAGAGCAATCCATTCTGAATGGCACTGTGATGCCAGAGAATGGCAACGATTAATTGAATAGTGAATCATAGACGGTGGCGAACACCGATCGGTCCAGCGGGTGTAGGTGTGGGTTAAATATTACACAAGACCCACACTCACATCTACACCCATACTCACACCCCACACCCACACCCACACCTACACTCACATCTACACCCACACCCACACCCACACCCACATCCACACCCATCTTTCCTTCATATATATTGTTTTTCCAAATTCATGTTGGAACTTTCCCACTACAACATTGTCTATGTATATATAGAGAAATATGGATTTCGTTCAATGAAATATATGTAAATAGATTAATGATGAGTAATACGAGTTCATGGATCATTTTATTTTTTTTTGAATTTATTTCATAAAACTTGTGAATATTTCGGCTTGATCTTCAGTCCATTATCAACACAAATGCAAGTAAAAAAATATACAAAAATTTTTCTATGTATAACTATTCTTTTCTTTTCTTTTCGTTCTTTTTTCTTTTTTTAACATTGCAATGTTAAAAAAAGAAAAAAGAACGAAAAGAAAAGAATAGTTATACATAGAAAAATTTTTGTATATTTTTTTTTACCTGTACACCTGTGGACAAAAATCTTTCTCCCCCTCCGCATCTCATCTATCATAAGAGCTAGAAGTTTGAAAATTTGTGGGCACATACTCCATAAGTAATGCAGGTCAGTGGTGCCGCCCGCATCTCGATGAGTTTATTAGAAACAAAGTTATGATGGACGATAATACTCTTTTGCCCTGAATTTCAGAACTCAGAGAAAGTCCTTACAAATGTTTGCCCTGCTTCTTATCAAGTACTTGATTAATTCTGAATATTTTTATGTGAAATTAAAGGTCAGACTTTGATCTTTCGTCACCCAAAAGATAGGTTCAGCTACTTGAATAATAATGTCTTCGGGTCTTGAACAGCAATACGATGATCGTCGGTATGTCATAACTCTTTAGTGCAACATTTCATTCAAAACCTTGCAGGCAATAATGCTCAGGTATGGAGAAAGCTTTTCTGAAAGTTTCGTATCGATTCATTGAGGGTGCGAATGGGCTGTGGTGTGGATATGGATGGGTGTGGATGTAGTAATAAAGAGTCACACCCCCACCCACACTCTACAATGGGGACAATATAAAGCATATCTTGTGGTAGGTAAAAAATGAAGGTCTACATTACTATAATGTTGTGATTAAGAAAAGTAAAATCAAGGTTGATTCATCATAACAAAATACGAGATGCATTGTGGGTAATTATTACATGATTCATTTTTGTAAAATACACCTGTGTAGATTTTATCGTAATGATTGTTTATGCCTTTTTTTTACTCTAGTTTTCATTTGAAAAGAGACATACTAAAACTTGATCAGAACGAAATCTATTCTGCAGTACACTAATAGAAGTTTGTTGTTTCTCGTCGAAAAGTCAATGAGTGAAATAAGAAAATCCAAGCAACTTCACAACCAATTGGGTTATGCACGAACACAGTCTAGAACATCTTTTGGTGAATAATTTTTTAAAAATATGTTCGAATTCTTGTGGTTGAGAAATTGTTTTATGTCACGTTTTAAATATTTTGTTATATTGTTGATCTAAGGATAAAGTTCTTTTAAAAATCTGTATTTTATATAAAGAGCTGATTTGATAAATAGTACATTTGTATAATAAATTATGCAATCAATATAATCTTTTTTATGTAGTTTTCAATGCAGCAAAAAATGTCTAAAGATTATAGGTTTACTAAGAATAATGATAGGTTTTGTTTTAAACATTTATCAGTTCATAATAAATATTACTTTAAAAAGTATGAATGTTTTTCATGTGTCAAACACAGAACATTAAACTCAATAATTTTAACTGTTCTTGTTTCGAATGAACTTCTACTAAATCAATCAAAATGATTCTTATAATATATTTTTTTTATTATCAAAATACTCTCAAATTCGATAGACTTTGCTTGTTTCTAAGCGATTTCACAAATCTATAATATGCTTTCGATAAGCTTCCGCTCACTAAGTATTGAAAACTTCAATCAATATGAAAAATATCGATACTTGTTTGAGAAGTCGAATACAAACAGATCAAATAAAGAAAATATGTTTCAAATGCCTATTCACACATCCACAATTTTGATTTTCTAGTACGGTAAAATTTGTATGAAAAGAATGTTACATTTTTCACTTTATACACATATATGATTCTTTTGTAATTTTTGAATCTACGTTTTCACACTTGTTGTTTTATTTGTTTGCCATCTTAAAATACTTACATTGACGCAAAAGAACAAAAATGTTTTACCAGAGTGTGCAATTTTTTTTTCTTTTTCTTCGACATTTTTCCATGAGTAATGCCGTTCGTCTAGGTTATACTAAAGCGTCCATATAAGGAAAGATTGAATCATAGACGTCATTGTAAAATACCAATGAATGTCAACATTGGAAAAAAAATGCATCATAAATTGCGTAATATGAAACATTTTTGTCCCATTCGGCCTGTCTTTCTTCTTTCTTATTGTCAATCTCGAGAGTTCTGTTGGTTCTCAACACTGTGAATAATATTATAGGGTATGTTTCACATGTTGACAGAATTTTTATTTCTTTTTGTTTGCTAATAAGTTTTACCTATTTTTTACTTGCTATTGCTCTTGACAGTATTTTTTTTGTAAATGTACTATCCAAGATTTATCGATCATTTTTTTTTAAATGTCTTTTATTAGTTTAACTGCAAAGCTAACTCCTTAAGCCTTTGTTGGACAATTATTTACCATTGTAAAATGTTTTTTCAAAAACAAATTTTACTTAGAATCAGTTTTATATGAGTATAGAGTCTAATACATGGAGTGAATAATTTACTGTTTTTTTAATGATTTAGATTTCAACAGACTGATGTAAAATACAAATCTTCTGCAAAATTTCTATCCACTTTTTCTCAGCTATTATAAAAATAAATACTCGATTGTAACATTGATTTTTATTTAAAATATTTTTCTAAAATTACAATTCATTGAAAAATATTCATGAAAAACGTTGGTAAATACCAAGCTCTGTGATGACGTTATCTTTTGTTGATTTGTCTTTTTCTTCCTCTTTCCAAACTATAAATTTGGTCTTTTCTGTCATGTTTTTGGATATTGTCATATAATAATTTGAGAAAAAAGAAAATCATACGAATAATGGCTGGCTTCGATTTTAAAATCCATTCTAAAACTTTATTGGGATGTTATAAAAACTATTTAAAAATCTTCCAAAAAGGTTTAGAATAGCTACACTATATTCATATAGCAAGTGTACATGATAAATGTTACACATGTATATTATACACGCGTAAGTAATTTTGACTGTTACACGATAAAATGAAAATATTTTGTATCTGAGTAAATTCAAAATTTTGTAAAATTAAAAGTAAATGAAATCTACGAATAACAGTTGATTTCACAGTAAATAAAATGAAAAGATCTGAAATTCTGTTTTTTTTTCTTTTTTTTATTTTCTTTCCCACAATTCACTTAGAGTTTTAGTATCATATTACTAGAAAAGATAGACTAAACGATCTGTATAAGAAAATATCTGACAGAGTTAACGAAAAGAATTGAAAACCATTATTCATCTCGAGTTAGTTAATCAGAATATCAAAACAAATTAGTGTAATATTTATTGAGTGCTATTTTCGAACTATTTTATTTTTAGATGGAAACAAATACTGACGCAGATCCTTATAAATATCATTTACATCAGGAAGAGTTGCCTAGTGAAAGCGACAATCATGCTGAGTGTGCAGAGCCACACGTTTCGCCTGAAAATGAAACGACAACACTTTTTCCTGAATTGTGTGCTTCAGGTATAGTCAATATTCGTAAGCTAAATACGAACATTCTCATACTAGAAAGTGAGTAATTAAAATGTTTGTTTATTTTTCTGTTTCCAGCTGCAGAAACAGAAGATTTACAACAGGCCGTAGAGAATGCTGTCGATAAAAAGCTGTTAATACTACCCGGAGCAGCCCAACCTCTAACACCAATTGTAACTTTGCTTGTAAATAATTTTGGCAATGAACAATTATCAGAATCAGGTAGTTTTAATCCGGAGTTTATTGTAATGTGTGTAAAATGTCAATGTTTGATCTTACTTAGGAAAAGAAGCCAGACAAGTTATTGAACGAAATGAAAGATCTCGACAAGTTTCTGTCAATGATGATCGCCAAGGCATTGCAAGTCGACGCAGACGAAGTATGATTTTTTTTGTGGACATTATTTATAGGAATGAAAATTTTAAGCATTGATATCTATTCTGATAATCTCAGAGAACGTTACCGAAGTTAAATTTTGATAGATTACTTTTACAGTGAAATGTTTATAAAATAATTGACAATAGAAAAAAGTACAATCGAGTTTATTGATTTAGATATTCATCAATAGTGAGATAGCTATTAGATTCAAATTAATAAGCCAAATATAAGAAATATATATTAATCGATTTCTCTCTTGAATACAACAAAGTCGCATTTTGAATGACCTCATTATGAAAGTAATTTGGTTCTATTCATCTATTCTTGTATAGTTTTTTAAAAGAAACACAATTCTACTTGCTCTTTTATCACATTCATCATCTTCTAATTTCTATGTAATTTTAATAATACAGAATTAGATAAACGAAGTAATGCTGAAAAAAAAATAATGATTCAAAGACGAGAAACACTCAATTTCATATACTGAGAAACATATATAAATATTTTCGTGAGTCATTGCATTTTGTCTTAGATCCCTCAAATTCCTCTATTGGAACATAAATGTATAGAGAAATTTGTCAAAAAACTTTTAGTGCAAATATGTCTTGATATAATGAAGTAGGTATACGACTTTAATATAAAACTGGCCATGTGATAAAATTTAGAATCAAATTTTTGTCTTCTCCATGACAAGAGTCTCTTCAGAAAAGTTTTAATCTAAACTAAAGCAGTTCATTTAAAACTTTCATCTCTAAAATCTAAATATTTAGATGATTATTTTGAATTTAAAAATTTTTATCATTTGTTTTAGGAAAGCTAAGTTTCATTGACAAGCTTATTCTAGCACCACAACAACCGAGCACACCAAGCGAATATCGGTAAAACATTTTGTCGAACAAGACAATTCTTTTTCTATGTTATTTTTAGATCGAATATACCCAAAGGTGCAAATAAATTCACATATGATGGTAAAGTATTTACAGTGAACATCGACGAATTCGATAACAGTGCAGAACTCGGTTCAGGAAGCTTCGGTGCAGTTCGTCAAGTCATGATAAAAGGATTGCCTAACGACTGTATGGCAGTTAAAGTACGCAGTCCACAGAAAAGAAATATTCATACTTTTTTTTTTATGAATATTAATCTGTAACACAGGATGTAATCAGATGTTTATAAGTCTGAAATATCTCGTTTTTAGTAAGAGAAGCGTTGTTGAATTTTTGTACCTCTTTAATATAAGCTTATTCCGATTGAGAAAGATCCTAAAAAAGATTGAAGTATTTTAACATAAAAGAGTCTTTTAGCTGGGAAAATTCTTAATGGAATAATTCCTCATTTCCTTCGTTTTCAAGAAGATGAATAGAAATCCAAATTGATCTTTTCATTTCTCAATAACATTCATATTACTTAACGTGAATATTGTACATTTTAGTGTGATACAAATGGAAAACAGGTAAATGGACGAACGTCAGAAGATATTGAATTATCAATAATGGAAAAGGTTGCTTCCAACAATACACCTTATATTGTCAATTACTACTGTGCAGTAATTCATCCTGTATGTATTGATTTTTTTTCTATATTTCTAGTTTTAATGTATGTTATGTCATTTTTGTAGGAAACTGGGGACTTGCATATCTGTATGAAATATTTTCATACATCAATGAAGAAATTTTATTCAGTGATGCATCAATCAAATGAAGTTTTGCGCACTAATGTTGATCTTTTGGCGCACCGTGTCGTATACAATGTAAGAAACTTATGATTATCAGTTCATTATTGTTGTTTTCTTTCGTTATAGATTGTATCAGCACTTCGTATTTTACATACTGAAAGAATCATTCATAGAGATATAAAACCTGATAATATGCTTATCAATAAGAATGGTATAGTTAAATTGTGCGATTTCGGTGTTTCCGTTGATCTGAATGAAAATCCAGATTTCTTCTTTGATGGTGGCACTGAATCTTACAGACCACCACGTCCACAGTTCCCTTCTAGCATTCAAGATGACATGTGGGCATTGGGTATTAGTTTGTTGGAAATTATTAATGGTCAACATCCGTTCTACAATGTGGATCCTAATGCCTTACCTTTTAAACTTCCATACTGGGAACCTAAAGTTCCTACGACAGTCTCTAATGAAATGCAACAACTTATTCAGGATTTGTAAGTAGTTTTCATTTGAATTGATATTTTATGTACATGTCCACATTTTAGGTTGAAGCGAAATCCTGAAGATCGACCTCGCTCTTACGATGACATTCTACATAGATCTGTTATTAGCAATATGCCTCAAATACCATCCAATGATGAACGCGACTTTGTTCGTCGCATAATCGACAAAATTTCTTAAATTGATAGTGTCATATTATGGCTTATTATATGGTACTTATATTATTGGATTATATTTTGGCGTTCTTTCGCTGCATATTTTCAGAATCAATACCAAGTCGTTTCAGACTCTTTCCGTAGATGTTAAATACTTACCAGATTAAACAGAAAGATTATTTAAAAACAACAAAAATTGGAAAATGCTAATTTCAAAAAAAAACGTGGCATTCATATAAAAATAGATATTTCTTTTTAGTGATCCGTTTTCTTTATGTTTGTCTGCTGCTGATCGGCACGTTAATCAATTATTGATTTCTCAAAAACTCTGGATTCTCTGGAATTTTATCTTTTTTAATGAAAAAATCTTTTATTTGATGTTGATCTACAACTCATCATTTATTTAAAAGACGTATTTACTTTTTGTATTTAACTAACCATAGTAGTCGCAAAGTTTAAAGAATTTTTTTTTAATGTTGAAATGTTCTATTTCTGTTATTTTACTTCGTTTGATATCTTTTCATTGTAAAAGTTTGTTATTCTATTTGACATATAAACGATTGTCTTTTTTTACAATGAAAGAAAATTTTCTGTTTGCTTTTTCAAATCATATGGTAGAATTTATAATAGTTCTCTTAACGAGCAGAAGTTGGATATGAGTAGTTTTAAAATAGAAATCTGCATTGAAGCGTATAATTATTGCATAATTATGATATTAAAGCATAATAAACTGTTTCAAATGCTCACCAAACTAAAGGATAAGTTTGTTATTCAAATATTACACTCGGTAGTATCATTTACGCGTTTCTTCTCGATGTATTTTCCACCAGACGTTTTGATACGATGATGAAACAATTTGGAAATAACATTAAATATTTCATTTGCTGGTAGGGTTTTAGACCATTTCGTTGCTAGAACTCTTGACTAATTTGATATTCTCTCAACTGTTTTGTCAAATTCAAATAAAATAAAAAGAAAACTTCATATTTTTTCTTAATAAGCATTTTTTTTATATTCTAATTTGAACCGAAATTTTTATGTTGACTATGATATAGATAAAAGTTAACATTAAAAAATATAAATTGCATTATATTTATGAACATGAATATGCAATCACGATTATCTATCCATAAGATTTTTAGAAACATCACGAATTTTGATCACTTAATTAAAAATTATTTCGATTAAAATATTTTAAGATTATCCGTGATTTTATATGAAAAAGAACATGTTTTATTATAGTATGATTTTCTATTAATAGAATAAGAGCTGCTATATAAAGTGGGTATGGATATGGATAGGAAGTGATACATATCTATGGGCAACTTGTGAATGTATTGAGTCATAGTTAACATCTTAGTTTCTACGCAACAAATGTTAATAACTGTCTTGAAAGATTTCTCATTTCACAAGTCACTTTTAATGATGATATCAAGAATTTTGGTTTCTGTCGATAAAACTTACTATTTAGAGGCACATTGCAGTTGAAGTGTTTTTTTCTCGATCTATGTAACTTAAATACAGCTTTATCCCTAATATATTCATGAAACATTACAACGATATCTTTCAAGCATATTGGGTGTGGATATGGACCTAGAAGGATAAGAATGCAGGCAGATCATGACACACACTCACACTAATTCTGTTTCATGTCTTTCGTTTTAAGATTGTTGGCAAGCAAACAAGATCTTATAACATAATTTTCAGTTCCTTTTCTCGTCTTGTTGGTTGATGTAATAATTTATTATGGAGAATTTCTGATAAAACTCATCATTCAACTCCTTTAACACCAAAGTGGTATAATTCATTAGAAAGAATCGACGAACTTGTTTCAATTTAAATCTTCGTAGGCATTTATTCACTAAAAGGAACATATCAATAATGAATGCATTCTCTATCGAAATCGTGAAAATCGAAACAAATACGAGCTGTATATAGTAAAGCACTGCAAGATATGTTACGATGCATATGTCACGAGTGATCGGATATATATATGGTTTAGTAGTTCGTTTATGATAAAGTGACGTTTTCAATATACCATTATCATTTGTTATAGTAAGATCAAAAAAATCAACAGAAGAGTTTATTTCATAATTGTTTTTAATATCATTATCTTTCTCATTCACTTTTCCTAGTACTATTTTAATTTTTATCCTTGATTTAATTAGTTGTCATAAATCTATTATCTGTGTAACTGAAATAAATAAACATTACTTAAGAGTATTGCTCATTAAATAAATGTATTATAAACCTTGTGGATGGAGGTGTCAGTGAAAAAGAGATCAATACTCACATCATTACATCATGACTCGCGAAACTCTCCGTTTATCACCAAATTATTATTCTCTTCTTATTCTCCTATCTCGTCATCTTCTATCGTCGTAATTAACATTACCATGTACATGGATCTCGCCTAAAGAAACACAGTACTCTTTAAAAATTTTGCCTATTGTATTATCTGGAAGTTTATCTATAAATGAACTTCATTTGAAAGACACATTATTATTTTTCCATGATCGTCTTCTTTGTTCAAGATGCAGAATAATATTCTTTGATTATGCAGGACCTATTATCCTTTTTTTTAATTGTAATTAATTTCATCCACACCCACATCAAATATTCTTTTTCAGATTTTCGAATTATCCAAAAATCTTACTGGGGACTAACATATAAAGTATGTCCAAGTAAAAAAAAAAGACATTCTTCTTTTTCGTTTGGTCAAATTTTTCGAAATTTATCTACATTTGTCATGTTAAATAAAACTAACAAAAAGATACGAGTTCCAGGAGAAATACTTATAGTTTTTTATAAGTTCTGTTTTTTAAGCATTCCTAGATAAAATTTTCATGACATATCAATAGAAGAAATAACTTTCTTCCTGTCCAACAATGAATAATATTTTCATTATGAAAATAAAAATCATTTTTAAATCTAATTTTCTAACATCTATTAATATTCTTATTGATAATATTCAAGAAATAGATGAGAAATATCTGTTAGTAAAACTTACTTTTGTGAAACACGATCTGAAAGGAGTGTTGAAGTGTTTAAGGATAGAAATTTGGATCTAACCCCTCCTCCACAGACCGTGACAGACAGGTCTCTGGATCCATCACAGACTGTGAAAGGCAAGTCTCAGAGATCATTATAGACTGATAGAGGACTTCAAAGAAATATCAGATATGATAGATAACTAATATATCATTGAAGCATCTATAGAATATTATCCTGTTGAAAGTATTTAATGCAAGGTAAGCCGTTATGAAGAAATCTATATCAGTATGCATGAAAAACAACAGCTTTTAGAACATTGGTTATAGCAGCTACATTGTGTTTCACATTTTTAATCCTGCAACGGATTGTGCTAACAGCTTTTTAAAATGTTCACTTATCATGTGTTAATATTATTTCAATATGATTACAAAAAAAATGTTTGTATTTAATCTAATCAATAAATATACGATCATGTAACAAATTGTTCAAATAATCAATGGGAATTTCCATTGAAATTTAGTCTGACAATTGTATGAGGAATTTTCAATCATAACAGAAATAGATTAATTCGTTTTAACAAATTATTCCATTTATAACATTTTAACTTAACAAATAAATGACTCACAACAAAAGTGAAATATATAATGCTTAAGAAATTATTTATTTCTATCTGTTTCTTCAAATAAAACTAGAAATAATAATTTGTCAGAGTATTTATATTTATGAACATCGGACTTCTGATCTATAACAAAGCATATTTAGAATATACATACCCTCACACTCACACCATCGAAAATTGACGAAAATTTCAATAAATCAGTTTCAAAATCCTACACTATATATTATAGAGAATTGTTTTGAGTCAAACATTGAATTGTGACATTACGTTCTTAATATCATGGTTTCATGAACTTCACAATGTTATGGAAAGATGCAATTAATGTATGAATATCATACAACCATTTGGTCTTATAAATTTATTAAAATTTAAGAAAATGTATAGAGAGTGTAGGTGTGAATCTGTATGTTCCTGTTGATCACCTTTACAGTAATACATATTTAAGTACTAAATCTATATAATAATGAATAAAACCTATTAATCAATTTAATGATCAAGGTAAGTCTTGTAAATAAAAAGTAAAACAGCTAATGAAATGAATTTCATTGAAAGGATCGATTCATTGATAGTTAGCACGTTTAATGGTTACTGTTCCATTTGTATTGAAACCGACGGCTAGAAACAAAGTAAAGTGAAAAGATAATTGTTAGTTCAAATGAAAATCATTATCTCATTTGAAAAGAGTTAAAGAAAACGCGAAGTACTAGTTTTGATTGAAGTAGATACTTTTATTTAAAATTAAACTAAAAGTAATCTTTCTCAGACTCATCACACGATCAACTGTGAAAGTGTTGCATCACCTGGATTTTGGTTGAAAACTATAATGAAGTGCTTATAAGTTTATGGTCTTTTTAATTATAGTACCATCTTTCGTATAAAACTTCTATTCAGTAAATGTGTTTAGAAAGTTTTGAATCAAATTAATTTTCATTATTTAGACGAGTTCTATCTTTTTACCAGGATGACAATGCTACTTTTACTATTGATATAGGCATCCTGTAATTTTTTATGCTTGTCGTTTGATTATATTTTAAGACATTGATGATAGTATTTGTCTCATTTTTTTCAACATCAATCATTTTGCCAATATCAATTTGAACTACATCTTTTTCAGTAATACCTAACAAATACATCGCAAATAGAACATTTCCATTATTTCCTGTCAATGTACTAGGGTGTGGGTGGATGTGGGTGTGGGTGTGGATGTTGTTCTTCATTGTATCTAAATC